TTCCCTACAGAACACCTCCAAAAATAAAATAAAAAATAAAAAAATTGTTATTTTGTTTTATATTGGGAATATTAATGGTTAAGAATTTTAAATTTTTTGAAAAAGAAATTACAAAATTTAACATATATCAATATTTTATTTGAGTTAATAAAAACTAAGCTAAATGCAAACTGATTAAACTAATTATTAATTCACAGAATATATTAAACTCAAGTCAAATTTAACATATATCAATATTTTATTAATGCAAACTGATTAAACTACCGATTATATATAAAATAGTTCCCAACACACCAATGAAATCCTGTACACAAAAAAAAAATGGAGGACAGAGGAACATAATGTATCATGTTAATGAAGTTCAAACGTACCAGCTGGCTTATCAAACAATGCACCATTGATACCCCCGTGCAAGTTACCAGAGGTATGAAATGTTGTTTGGCACCTTTCTAGGTAATCAATAAGGCTATCCCATACACGTAAAAAATGTAGGCTAATCAAGACAGCAATACATTCTAATACAGGATTCCATAGGGAGCTAAATCGATTATTCAAGATGCCAAACAATCCATTCAAAACAAGTGGCACATAAACATTAGGAGTCCTTCCAGCAGACAGTTCCATCTGTATCTTGGAAATCAATAGCTGAATGCTTCTACTCGTAGAAATTGAAATAGGAGTTGTTTCAATGGAAAGGAGACACAGCAGAGCCTGTCGTTTCACCAAAATACACACTGACATACTGAAGCTTAAGTTAAAAAAATGAACAGAATATAAAAGAGAATTACATTATTTTTTGCGCGATCTGTCCTGACACTTGGAGAAACCTCAAGTTTCCTTTTCTTATCAGCTGGCTGATCCACTGAAGAATTTTCCCAACCCAAAATTTTATAGTTACAAAGTATTTTAAGAGTCGCAATGCGAATCTCCTTGTCTGAATGATGCAAATTATCAGCAAATGTTTCCACTGCATCTGCAGTGCCTTCCTCAAGCTCTGGATGATAAATTCCACAGCCAGTGTCTTCCAATGAACTGTAATGTACAAGTGAGACCATTACATGAGTACAAAGCTATAACTACAGATAAACCTATTGGCAAAATTGACTACTAAAGAATAGAAGAGAGTAATACACCAAATTATTTCTTGAGATTATGCAAAGTGATCAATTTAGTCTCTAAGATTACAAAAAGGCCATTTTAGTACCTGAAATTATCAAATGACATACATTTTAGTCCCTAAAACTACCAAACAACAATGGTCATTTTAGTCATGAAATTACAAAAATAGATGCTAAAACAACTAACCACTAATGTTTGGCAATTTTAGGAGCCAAAATGAAATTTTTATAATTTTAAGGACTAAATTGATTAGAACTTTAATTTAAAGCAATCTTATCAAAACCGGACTGATGATCGACTCGGTCAAGGCACTACGTCAATGATTCACTGGTTGAATGAATCGATATATCGTTAAATATGATTTAATATTAACTATATAATATAACAAACACTTTATGTCAAACATGTAAAAAAGTTATAAATTGGTGTAGTGGTAGATCACTTGTCATATATCCAAATGACTAGTGTTGCAGGATTCAGAAGCCAGAGGAGTTCAATCAACATTTGACTCGGTTGATAATTTGGAAGAAAAAATAAATATAAAAAAAGTATGTGACCTATTTGGGTCACAGTGACTCTAAGGTCATCGCCCCAGTCAAACCAGTTTACACCAATTCTAGGGCATTTCCAATCAAATAAGTGGCTCAGACCAGTTAAGCGGCCAGTTTCCAATTCAATAGGTCAAATTGGCCGAACTGAGCCGAGTTTGATAGCACTAATTTAAAGAACTAATTTGATCTACACTTAAGTGGAAAACGATAAGAAATGTCTAAAGCAGTTTACACCAATTCTAGGGCATTTCCAATCAAATAAGTGGCTCACACCAGTTAAGTGGCCAGTTTCCAATTCAATAGGTCAAATTGGCCGAACTGAGCCGAGTTTGATAGCACTAATTTAAAGAACTAATTTGATCTACACTTAAGTGGAAAACAATAAGAAATGTCTAAAGCAATTAACTTTAACACAGGTTCCCTACCCATACTTGAAATCCAAATAATCAGCAACAGCCAACAACACTTGTGAAGATGATTTGTATCTTTTTGCAAGACATAAAAACTTTCCAGTTTCATTGACTCCATGGTTACTGTTGCGGCACAATCTGTCGTAAGAACTCAACGCAGCACCTATAATGCTTTCCCAAGCCTTTTTAGACATATCCCCAATATACCCTGCAGATAAAACAGAGAAAGAGCAAGAAACAAAAAAATATAAGAAATTATATTTTCTATTTTAATCATGTACAGAATTCAACTGCAAAACATGCAAAATAGAAAATATAGTTATAAGATTAACAAATACAATAATCCAAGTGTAACCTCATAACCAGGTATTTTTTCCTTAATATGGTCCAATCTGATTCAATATTATGATAGCAAACTCAATTTGGTCAAAACACAAATGAAATACCAGATAGACACAAGGTTCTACAAGATTGCTCATCAGATTTGAAACTACACAAGAATGAAGGAATACCAGCTTTAACGGTCATAAGATGATCTACAGAATCCACCAGCTCCACCATCAAGGATGGATTGGCATCAACTATAGACATATGAGAATAGCAGCTCACAGCTCCCCACAGCAGTGCCAGCATTCCTTCATCAATTTGACATAGTATATCATCATGTGCAATATCATTTATTTTCCCCTTCCAACAGCAGATTGTCCCTTGCAAACGACTGCATATCCTAGCCAGTGGTGCTTCTTTACTTGTTCCATTCACAAAGTCTGACTTACATTTATCTAATTGCATTTTCTCACAGAAAGATTGTAACAAATGTATGACCGCTTCCTCAGAAATCTCCATCAAATCATCAATTGCACTAAAAGAACAAGTCATAGAAGTCAAGTATATATACGTCCAGTATTAAACAATAATTTGATCATGTGCACACACACACACTCAATTTTGAGGTTACCTTATAACATTACTACTGAAATGAAGTAAACAAAGATCCTCCTGTAGCAGTTCTCTAATGAAACGCATCAAACTGTAATCCAAGTTCAAATATGTTAAGAAGGTATATAAACAAGCTAAAGAGAATGTCAATATCTCAATTGCACTGTTGCAGTCATTACCTTGAGCTTCCTGATTTAATAATTGAAGGTGATTTAAAAACCGGAGCCCACTGGAGAGCACACACTGATATCATTGAGTCATTGCAATTACGGAGCCCCTTGAGAATAGCAAGCATTAATTTCAAGATTTTATCAACTAAATATATATCTTCCTGTGACTCAATAACTCCATGAGGTTTGATAAATGCCTGCACAAGCAGCAGAACTAGTTCCAGCATAGGCTTATAATCTGCCAAAAGTAAATGCAATAAATATATGTTCTCTTAACAAGTGATAAAAATAAGCTAAATAGTACCAAACAGGAGTACAAAGGTTCAGTCCTAAAGTCCTACTTTTGGGAAGGGGATAACCATACATTCCATGGCCAAAGGTAATAGTCTTATACTCCTTCCCAAAAGTACCAAAAACATTAAATAATAATTTTTAAAAAAAACATTGACAGATTCCCTAAAAAAAACTTTAAATTCAAATTATTTATCAAAATAAATTTATGATCAGCTCAATATGAAACTGCCATAGTTTACTAACTTTGTCAACTGGCTCAACTTAGCTGAACATACCAAAAGGAAAAGTTCAGTAACAAAGTATTGCAACTTACCAGACACCTTTTGCCCATTTTGAATCTTTATAGCTGAAACAAGCACTGATAAAAGATGTCTCAAGTGCCTGACATTTCGAGTATTAACACATTCATTTACTTCCTTATATAAGCAATTCCAGACCAAATTCAACTCCTTAGACTCCATCTTCTCACATAGTTTCTTGAAGACAGATTTGACAATTTTCAGAATGGTCATTGAATCTGAAATAAAGGCAGGTAGAGATAACAAACAATGTGATATAATACATTACAAATCAATCACAATATTATATCTATATATAGCCAACCAACAATAGACAATGGTAAAGGAAAAATCAGATGCCTAAAAGAGAAGATGACTTGTCAGAAAAATCCCATGAGTTCTAATAAAGATTATAGAGAAATTTACAAGGAATATACAATAACAGAAGCCTTATCCCTCTAGGTGAGGACAAAAGAAAATTGCACACCACAATTAATTACTGGTTAACTTTACAAAGTTAAGAATGCTTCAGTTTCTGACTTTCAATTCAAAAGAAATCAATTTGCATTGGACATCAACAAATTCAATTTTATTCTCATTACAGTAAGCCAAAGGCTTAACAGCAGCAGATCTGAAGCATCTCACTGGACATTGTTAGAGCCAAAATGAGGCAATTTAAGCTATGAAAAATGTCTATTTTCAAATGAACAAAAAGATCAGTCAATAATCATATATTAATGATGATTGTATATCACTGTTACTGATACCAAGTAGCATAGTAGCCACTAATCACTCAAATGAACATTTCAGCCCTTGATCAAAATGTCATGAAAATAGAACCAAAATAGAATTGCTCTTTTAACCGGAGAACAAGCTTACTTTGGTCAGATTTATCACCAATAGGATAAATTGCTTCCCTGGTCAACAATTGTAACACTCGCTCTGCTTTAGAATGGAACCTGGATGAGTAACCTTTCATAATATTATAAAGCAAAACTTCAACACCTGATTCTCTACACAGAGATGGCTTCTTCACTGCATCATCAATTACTCTTCTGATTCCTGTTCCATTAAACAATAGTGGAAGTTTTGCAGCCACGCAAACAAATCGATAGAAGCATAATTACACAGAGAGAGATTATACTGGGAAGCAACTTACTACCTCCTCCCTATATATAAGACCCTTTTCACTGTTTTGCTTGTCCTTTTTTATAAGAACCTCTTCTAATTGTTAGTTACATTAATTATATCTTCTCTAAAATTAATTAACAACTCTTTTATACAAAAGGTAATAAATGCTTGAAATTAATTAGATAAAACTGTCTTATTAGGATTGCAGAAGATAGATAAACACATAGATATCTCTCTTTCAAACATTAATTAATTAGGTGGGAAACAATTAAGTGGAAAGAGAGATGGTTAATTTAAGAGATGTAATAGTAATTTTGTAAAAGTAGTTTAAATTATTGACAAATTTAATGCTCTTAACTAAATTAACTAATTTTCTTAAGGAGTGTAATTTAATTGAAAGGATCTCATAATTAGAGATGGAGGTAGTATTTAACAAGCCCTAGAAAATCAGGGGAATTAATTAAAATTGGCAACAAAAAATAATCAACATGCATACCTCTTTCAAGCTGCTCATCTGGGGCATTCCTCAAAACAAATGACATTGCTTCGGCCATGAATTGTTGGATGTATTCTTTTGGATAGTACCTCAGTTTTGATGTGACCCTTGAAGAATCAAAGTCAGGAAAAAAAACAAAATTAGAAACATCAGATTTTTAATTCAGTGCCATGTTGAAGGCTAAAATAAAAAATATAATCAGTTGTCCTTCGAGCCTAACTAACTTGGTTCACAAAAAATTTTGCAAGTTCCATGTAAAGGGCTTAACAATCCTTGATGCAACGTCCCTTTTCCCATTCATAAACCCTAGCAACATTACCTTAGTACCCTTAAACATAATTTGATCAGTTCCAGTTTGTTTTCTGGAAATTTTCCCCACTGTTCCATATAGAAATGCACAGCATTGTTAGAAGGGCCAATCCACCCCCATTATGTTTTTCGTATTACAGGCTGAGCCTGGTGGATCACGTATACTGAGGTGCATCAAGTTGCAAATAAAAGGTGATATGCAGCTTGAGCAAAGCAAGTGATGCAGCAAGGTAACCATTATTTCAAAATTTTGGCAAAATGCCTGTCATTCACATTTATTGACACTTCCAGCCAATGGGTACAAAGAATAATTGAATATATTAAATCTATATGACCCAAAAAAGAAAGGAATAACACAACCACAACCAGTCAGCAGTGTACCAAGGTTTTGATGCGAGTTTTACTTTTATTTATGCTTTATCTCCTTTTTCAAGCTGCCCTACCCGTCTTCCATCTCCTACAGCTAAAACACACAGCTAGACCAGAAACACCATTTGAAATTGTTTTAACACTTACTAATCTTATATTTTTTGTTCCCAGTTCTATATGATTTATATACCCACAAATTTTCTTTTAAGGCCAGCATCATATTAAAATCAATACTAGCCCCCAATTATCTTGCTTTTCATTCAATTTTCAAATTCAGCTACCACTTTATGGCTAGTAGTCTTTAGGCTTAAATTAGGGGCCATTACATGTTTGCACATCGTGTCTCTTTAATACCATATTAAGATTTTACTACTTTGGTATGACAAAAACTTACTTTGAAGTCTCACTTTTGTTCAATTTAAATAATAGTTTCTAGGATTTTCGCCTCAACTTGCTTTCTGTTTCATCAAAAACTTGCTTATTTAAAAAAGGTATAAATTCTATTAAAATAATGAATCCTAAAAATGCATAATCAAGGAAGGCAAAGATTACTCTCAAATAATTCACTGATCAAATGAGATAAACTAAGTGTAAGTGCTGCTTAAAAATGCTCAGTCTTAGTGCATTTTTAATCTGATGCAAATTAAATTAATCCTTTGGATTTAACAAAGTGGTGCAGATAATGGCATAATCTGATGCAACTTGCTTTCTGTTTCATCAAAAACTTGCTTATTTAAAAAAGGTATAAATTCTATTAAAATAATGAATCCTAAAAATGCATAATCAAGGAAGGCAAAGATTACTCTCAAATAATTCACTGATCAAATGAGATAAACTAAGTGTAAGTGCTGCTTAAAAATGCTCAGTCTTAGTGCATTTTTAATCTGATGCAAATTAAATTAATCCTTTGGATTTAACAAAGTGGTGCAGATAATGGCATAATCTGATGCAACTTGCTTTCTGTTTCATCAAAAACTTGCTTATTTAAAAAAGGTATAAATTCTATTAAAATAATGAATCCTAAAAATGCATAATCAAGGAAGGCAAAGATTACTCTCAAATAATTCACTGATCAAATGAGATAAACTAAGTGTAAGTGCTGCTTAAAAATGCTCAGTCTTAGTGCATTTTTAATCTGATGCAAATTAAATTAATCCTTTGGATTTAACAAAGTGGTGCAGATAATGGCATAATCTGATGCAACTTGCTTTCTGTTTCATCAAAAACTTGCTTATTTAAAAAAGGTATAAATTCTATTAAAATAATGAATCCTAAAAATGCATAATCAAGGAAGGCAAAGATTACTCTCAAATAATTCACTGATCAAATGAGATAAACTAAGTGTAAGTGCTGCTTAAAAATGCTCAGTCTTGGTGCATTTTTAATCTGATGCAAATTAAATTAATCCTTTGGATTTAACAAAGTGGGGCAGATAATGGCATAATCATCTCAGAATTTCAGGGTTTGCAGAATAATTAAGTTTATATGGAAATGAAATAACAAAAGCTGCATGAACCAAACTCAATCACTCACTTGAGCACCTCTGATGGGTTGCGTACTAGATATTTTTGCAGGTACATCATAATGAATGACCATGATGTGAAAATCTGCATTAAAACAAACATTTTTAAGATTTTACACTGAACTAAGGAAACTACCACAGAAGAAAAGAACACAGCCCATAAGAAAATTTTCCAAAATGACAGAATATACCTGCTCAATGATATCTGGCTCCCTATCACCACCACTCTCTAGAAGAGATACTAAAGAATCAACAATTCTTGGCAGTAGCCTAGGAAAATCCATATCCACAATGATAAGAAAACCATGTGAGCATTCTCATTAAAATATAAATGTGCAAGAGCTACACAAAATTTGACAATTCAAACAAAGGAAACCCCAAACGAACCAAATATAATAAAAGTTATAAGCGACTTACGGAACAAATTCCTCTAGGAGATCCCTAGATAAAGCTGCAATTAACCTGTAAAAAACAAGGTCTTGAGATTTATTGGCAACAGCTGTAAAACAATAGGACACAAGGGAAAAAAAAGCACTGAAAGAGAGAACCAACTAGGCATAAATTAACCAAGTCCAAAACTACCAGTACGTTAACAGTAAGTACAAATCAGTTTTATGAAAAGCAGCTTGAACCAGCCGATCAAACAGTTTGATCAAGAAAAGGTATATAATTGGTCTGAGTTTGATGCTGGTTCAGAATTGTTATGGAACTAGTGTAACCTAACCAATCAAACAGTTCCAAGTAGTGACATTTTAAGTGAACCAGTGTGTTGGGAATTTTTTGAGATTTTTATGGTATGGTTACTATGTTATTAGTGTGAATTTTTTATTTTTGAAAGTATGAAAATTGCAAGTTATGATTTATTTTGGAATTTGTAATATACACCAGTTCAATTCGATCAATAAATCATTGGTCCAACCAGTGACTTATTAATCTAGTACTCTGACGAAGTTGATAACTAGTCCAAGTTTGATAATAATAACACTGGTATAAATCAGAATGTAACAAAATATAAAACTATTCAATATTTACTCCAGTATCTAAAGCCCTAATTAGTACAGCATACATATACAGCTTGACTCTAATACTATAATTAATAAAACGCAATAAATTATCACAACTGAATTCAACCACTCAAAAAGAATCCCAAATCAATCAATTAATGTGCACATAATTCTCTAGATAATAATTGGTCCTGATAGAAAAGTCAGGTATGTGTCAAAATTGTTGTTATTACCATGAATGCAAGATTTACAAAAAAATAGTAATATAATTTATTATGACCATTTCATTATGTAACACAATACAATTCCGAATCAAGCAAAATGAGGTAATCCATAACTAGCACACCTGAGAATTGGTTCAAGGGATAGCCTTGCTTTCATGTGCAACCTAGAAAGAAGCTTTGAGATTAAAGATTCCTTGTGCAACAGCACCAGGGGCAATGTTTGTGTATAAGGCATAATCTCTTCATAAAATGAAATGAAATCCTCGGCAGTGTTCAACTCCTGTATTTTGACAATCAAGAGCAAATAATTAATACCAACTACAAAGTACCAAGAATGATTGAGATAAAGTAGAAGATCATGCCAGTAACAAAAGTCAGCAAAAATAACTTTCTCTACACATTTTTTATCCTACAAGAATCAATTCCGGGTTAGCATGCAATTCCCTCTCACCTATCATTGTTATCATAACAGCAAATAAAAAATTGTTTCATAAGTAAAGCAAAAAAGAGAGGAGTTGTATATATTATAAGGCATACCCTCCATTCTATAAGGCAGTCTCTGAAAAAACAGGAACCCTCAGATGGCTCGGCTTTAACCTTCTCAAGACTTCGATATACATTGATATCAATATCATCTACTCTCTCCGAGAATGACTTAAACTGCACATTCAGAATTTTTTTCAAAATTAGAAGAATAGACGAGAATGCCGA